GCTCAATGCATTGGGAGCTGTTGAGTTTATTTGGGGCAGGAAGGGGCAGAGGAAGCTGTGGTGATAACAGAAACCCAAAGCATCCCTTTCTTCAGGAGCTTCAGTCTCCACACGTTGCAGCAGAACAAGCTAAACATTAAGGAACTACTGGCCTAAAAATAACATTCATAACACAAGAGCTGATTGTCACTAACACTCCATTTCCTCATCTGCTCTGCGTGCCAGACCTGCCCCAAATGTACAGCTCAGACGTGCTGATAGAACTGTGTCGTGACCTGCCTTCCTTTGTAGTTCTCTGCCTCCAAAGCACAAGGCTGGGCTGGATGGGTGACAGGAATCCTACAGATCTGGTGACAAGCTGTTTGGAATCTGCCAGCTCTGTGCTGTGCCTGAAAAGGCCAAAACTTGTGTCCTGGGTGAACACTTGTCCCAGAGGCTCAGGAAAGCTGTGTCTCACTGTGTTTGTTTCCCAGCTGGGCTGACTGTCTCTCCCTGCAGGCCTCTCCTTCCAGCTGACCTCAGCAGCACTGCTGTCCATCCTGGTGTTTCTCCCTTCCATCACGGTGGTCATTCTGCTGCTGGTGAGGCTGGGGAGGAAATTCAGAGTGGTAAAGGAGAAAGGAAAACCTGGCTACAAGAAATCCTCCATTGAAGTGTCTGATGAGTAAGTTCTGGCTGCAACCTGAAGCCTGTATTTCCACTTTGGCCTGTTGGCACAGGCTGAGGGATGGTTTCTTCACTGCCCTTTGCTTCACAGTGCTCAGTGCCAGCAGCTCAGTCGCTGCTCTCTGCTTCCCCGGGAACCACTTAGTGGTCAGAAAGTTTTGGAAATTCCCTTTGTTGGAGCATGAGCTAAGTGCTACACATCCCCTTTTATTTCTGCTGTGTGTGTGAGGCCATGGAAGTGAAGCCATTTGGGGCTAGACAAGCCTTTCACTTCTGTAATTGGGTTTATTTTGGCTGGAGTCAGCATGTTATTTTGCATGCAGGAGCTTGGTGTGCTGCATTTTGTTGTGAAGCATCCACAACAACAATCCAAACCAAATAATGCTCCCTCGCTCCTCTGTGGTGCCCTGAGCAGAGGTGCCAGGTACTGAAGGAGCCTTGGAGACTGAATTCCCTCCTGAACTGGAGAGGATTCTGCTCTGGGAAGGTTCAGAAGTGAGAGCAACAAGCTAACAGTGCAGCTGAAGGAGCTTTGCAGTGGGGTCAGCACACAAGTCCTTGCAGAACAGGGTTTTTCCTGCAGTGTTTCAATGCTCTGACTGGTGCTGTGAGATTTGCCAGCCAAATAGAAACTCTTGGTATATTCTTCATGGAACTCAAGTGATATATGTGTGTGAGGAACCTGACATCCTTTATCCCCTTCGGATCTGCTGTGTAGAGTCAGAGGCTTTTCAGCGTGATGAAAACCCTTCAATTCCACGTGAAGTAACTAGAATTCACAGTCAATAGGAGATATCAGTATGTTTGGGGGGAAATCTCCAGCCTAATCCTGTGTTTGCCTGCAGACCTGAGCACGCAGGGACAGTTGGCTGCCAGGGGAAGCTCAGAGAGTGGTGCCTGAACTGTGTGGTAAGTGAAAGTTGCCGTTTCCACGGTGGTTTTACCAACTTCGATGCTCAGAGGAGGTGTTAAAAGCAGCAGGTAGAGCTTGTCATGACATCTCTGGATGTCCAAGAGGTGTCCCAAGTGGCTGTGCTTGTGCCCCTTGGTGCTTCCCACCTAGAGGCTCCAGGGAGTGAGAACTGGTCATGCTGTGGTGCTGGTGGGAGGAGCTGAGATCCACCAAAGTGATTTTTCACTAGACTTTATGGAAATTCAAGCTGTCATTTTAAGAGGGACCCCCAGGATTTAGGTGGTAGCTGTGGTGTGGTTTATCTCAGGCTCTGCAGAAGCAGTTTGGGGTTGGCAGTGCTGTGGTGGGCAGGGGAGGCAGTGGCACCTCGAGCCCCTCACAGAGTGATATTGTCTCTCTTTGGGAGACCTTCCTCCTTGCCCTGCTTTCATTGCAACAGAGTGTTGCTAAACCCTTGTGGTTTGTTTGTTTGTTTGTTTCTGGCTCTGTTTGCTGTGCTCTGTGAAGTGGTGGTTGTCCTCTAATTCTGCTCCTTCACCTCCTACCCCACCAGCAGCTTCTGTTGATCAGGTGCCTTGTGCTCAGACTGCTGAGTGCTTTTGCCACCTGCTGCCCTTGTTTTGCCTCTAATGCTGGCATTAGAATCATGGAATTATTAGCAGCCACTAGTGTGGCACATTCCAGAGCAATGCCTAATTTGAGGGTGTTTTTATTTCCCCCACGATGTCCTGCAGAGCAAACTCACCTCAGAGGCTTCTTTACATCTTGTGTACACAGTCAGGACTTATGTTAAGGAGTGTTTAAGTATATGTTGCTTGATTCTCTGTTTTAATGGCAGTGATATGCACTGTACTCGACACATGAGCCTTCAGCCAGGCGTGTGCTGATGGTTTCTGTGAGATGCAGAATGGAAACCAGGCAATCATGTTAGCTAAATACAAAATACTTTGAGCTGCACACAAGGCACAGCAGTCACAGTGCAGCAGTGCTGGGAACAAGGTCTGGAGAGGTGCAGAAAGCAGGAAATGTTTTGTGCCAAAGGGAGAGTTGCCTTGGGAGGTGGAAAGGCTGTTCCAAGTGGAGCAGGGACACAGCAGGTGGAGAAATGGGAATGGATAGAGCCCCAGTTTGGTGAGGGAAATGCTCTCAGGCAGTGGGAGCTCTTACAATCTGAGCAATGTCTCATGCTCTGAGAGGAGTCAAACGCTGTGGTCCTGCTGCTTTCAGATCAAGTGTCTTGTCCTGTTTGATACTCTTCTCTCTGATACTGAGATCTTTAGCTGGTCAAGTCTCTGAGCATCCTGCCACACTCACGATTCCACGTTCCTCAGGTTTCTGTCATGTGTTTTTTCATGCTCAATATGTTAACAAACAATTAACATTGCAAAGGCAGTGAAAAATCTCTATGGACATACAACAACCAGAGAGGTAGCGTGATGTGCCTTGCAGGGCTGTGGTGTTTGGGTGAGTTTCAGGCTGGGAGTGCAGAGCTGCTGTGGGGGCACCTTCACATGAGTCCTGTGGTTACAGCAATGGGTGATGATGTTTTTCCCAAAAGTAGGTGGTTGTTGTAGCTGAAAAACCACCGACTGTGCTGCTCAGGAGTGTGTCTCTAGGGACTGGAGGTGCTTTGTGCTGCACTGCATGGTTCATCTTTGGTTGGAGCTGGAGCTGCTGCTTCTCTCAAAACACACTTCATACGTTGGTTGTAGTGTGGTGATACTGTGGTCTGTCTGTCATAAATCAGATTTAGCTGCAAGTGCCTAGACATAGATATATGTGTATACAGATATTTATACCAACGTTTATGCAAGTCCTGTTGCTTGTTCAAGCCCAGCAGCACTTGGGAAAGCATTTGGGCTCTTGTCAGCAGCTCAGCCTCAACATTTTGCTGAACTCATGCCTCGATTCATGTCTTCACACACAATTTCTCTCTCCATGCTCCCTGTTTAGGACACGGATGAGGAGGATCCATACTGATGAAAGGCTAAATCTGTGGAGAAAGAACAAACTGACAGCACTGAAAGTCATGGCTAGGTGCTTCTGAAGGCTGCTGATAACCAGTGCAGATGGAAGGACCTGCTCAGCTCTTGGTAGATTGGAAGGATAATGCCAATGGGACAACTCCCTTTTATTTAAGCACAAAATAACGATTTTTAAAATCCTTCTAATTTATCAGGGAAAAGAAAACCTCCTGCCCTCACTTCTGCAGTGCCTGCAGGAGCCCCAGTGCCTGCAGCCTGCCAGTGTGCCCAGCTCCTGTGCTGTACTGGTGCCATCCCTCCTTCCCTGAGCCCTGGGATCACATTGCCTGAGGCACAGGCTGCTTCAGAGCCAGGGCAGCTCTGAGCTGGTCATCTTTGGGCACTGCCAACGTTTTTCTCAGCCTTTTGGAACAAATCTGCTGGTGACTCCGAGCGGTTTGAAGTGGTATCTGGCACCTTTGTCTGGGAGTGAAGAGAACCTACTGCTTTTGAACTAGTTCTTGTTTGAATCAGCTCATCACATCTCCTCCTGCTTGTGGAAGTGAAGCACAGTTCATAGAAAACTCATCGCTTTGAAGTCAGAAATGCCAATGGGGACTCTGTATCTGGGGAAACACAACCCCATCTACCTCAGCCATGGACTCCAGCACTGCCCAAAGGAACGTTCTCTATGCAGTAGAATCGTTGTCTTCCTTTCTTCTAGATACCATTTTAGGGCAATAACTCACTATGCAGCATTGCTTCCCCTGAGAAGTACCATTTCCTCTTTCACCAACCTTGTCCAGTGACAAATGGCAGAGAGCAGTGGAATTCAGCTCTGCTCAGTCCCTAAAGAGCTGCTGTTTGCTGCTTCCTTTCTGCATGTGTCTAATAATCTCCTTTATACTGTTGGTCTTGATGTGCCATTGCCAATAAATTGCTTTATTCCATCCTGGGCTGTGGCTTTCCTTCTTTGGTTAAACAGAGCTGAACCCAGAAAAATTGCCATGCTGAGTAGTTTAGGTATAGAAATTGTCAGGTGGTGATGGGTAAAGGTGGTTAGGGAGCAGATTTGACCAAAAGGGAACAGGTACTGAGTCCCCCATTGGCAGCTCCGTGGTGGCTCCTAGTTACAGGTGTGTTGAAGGTCCTGACTGAGCAGCTGGAGGTTACCTGTCCCAGACAGAGAAATATCTTTTTCTCTACTTAAAGTACTTGTGCTTCCTGATGTCTGTCAGCAAAACCCTTCCTGAGCAAGGCAGCTGGTGGGATTATGAGCTTGGAGGAAGTGGCTTTGCTGTTCCACTCTCAGTTATCACCCACATCATTCAAGTTTCTTGTGGGAACAAAAGACTCTTGTTTGCTGCAAAATGTTTGGCTTCAACTGGGACTCCTTTGCCATCAGTGTGCAAAACCCTGGGCAAATCTTTGTGGTGCAAAGCCAAAGGGTCACCCTGGAGCTGGTGGCACTCTGGGTGGTGAACAGTGCTGAGCATGAGGAGCACTGAACTTTCTCTTCCTTTGCTACTGTTATGGAAATTTCTGGGTATGCCACTAAGCCCACTGGTACTGGAATGGAGAAGAGGAGGTGCTCTGGTGTTTCAGAGAAAGAGGAAGGATGAAAATGGGCTCTCCAAGGGGCTGGGTGTGTGTGTGAGATGAAAGCAGACCTGGGGTGTGTGTCAAAAGGGATCTGCTGGTGACACTGCATGTTGGCAGTGTCCCTTCAGCCCGGGAGGAGCTGTTGGCCTGTGGCTCTGGCAGCACCAGCAGAGGCACAACAAAGCTCCTCAGTGTTGCTGCTGCCTCATCAGGACAAGATCCAGTCTGCAGCAGTGATGGTCCTCTGACCAGCTCTGGTCCCAGGAGGGAGCAGAGGTTGTGTGCCAGGAGTCTTTCCCTGCTTGTCTTCCCACAGAACAACTGCTCTGCTGTGATAGAAGGGCTGGGACTGAGCCTCAACTGCTCCCTGTGAGGTGCCTCCTCCTGAAGCTGCTCCATCCTCCACCTGCTCACTGGTAGATACATCTGCAGTTGCTTTTCTCTGTCTGCTGAGGCCCTTCTGCATTCTGATGTGTTCATCTGCTTCCTCTTGTGTGTGCAAGTGACCACCACAGTCAACCTGAGAGAGGGAACCAGAGTCTGCCCAGGAAACATCTTACACAGAACTTACAGGTGACAGAACCTCCTAATGATGAACAAGTGATTCAGAGACTCCAAATGAGTCAGTGCAGAGCCCTTTGTGCAAGAGGAGTCTCCTGCCCCAAGACACACTCAGTGAGTATTATTTGCCATCGTGTTTACTTTGGTGTCCTTGTTTTTCCTGCATGGAGAACCAGGGAATCAGAAGTGCCACGTGCACTAGTAGGGAAATGTGAAGGCTCTGAGGGATCTGTGTCTTTTCTGCCCCAGTGGGTTTGGAAAAGGCAGTTTGGATGTGTCAGCACCCTGACACACAGAACAGCCTGGTGAGTGGGTTCTGTCTCCAGCTGGTGCATCACAGCTCGACTTCATGCTGTGTGGCACAGGGGGAGACCCTGCACAAATGTGTTCCCAGGCAGGACCAGAATTTCTCCTGAGAAAGAGGGTAATAAACCCAGGAAGGAACTGCTTGCAACTAAGGCCCAGAGCCTCAGTAGCTCAGCTCCAGGGAACTTCTGAGGCTCTGAGTGTAGCAATCTCAGTTTTCTGTGTGCTGAGGAGTATTTTCTAAGCTGGCTGCTATTTTGGGTCCTGCACAGGGGTTGGTCCTGGGAGGGTGTAGCTCTGCTTGAGCTCTACAGCTCTTGGCAGCATCACTGGAAAGGAGGATGCTGCACTGAGCTGTGCTGCCCCAGCTGAGAGCTCTGGAGCTGAGTATGAGTTGTGCTGTGTTTGTAGGTTGTGTGTGCACCAGGGAGGGAGGTACAGCAAACTGTGTCACGGCAGCATTGCAAACAGCACAGCCAAACCACACAGCTCACCCCTCCACTCCCAAACACCCAACCCCCAAAGGCAGAGCTGAGAGAATTCCAGAAGGTTTGCTGCCACTTGGCAGGATCTCGTTTGTGGAAAGGGGAGGCTGATGAAGGGCAGAGGGTTTTACATCACTGGCTGCAAAGCTCTAGTGGCTTTCTCAGCCTAGAACAGATTTGTGTGTCCCCAGCAGCTAATTCTGGCCCTGTAACCCCTGTCTGAGGCTGATCTAGAGATGACCTCATTTGCATGATGGAGCAGAATGGAGAGAAGCTACCAAGATTCCAGAGATGATTCAGCTCTTGACATTCTGTTTCTGCAGGAAAGTGCCTGTATTGGAAAACACATGCTGGTAATGCAGCCTCAAACCCAACTGTAATGGGCAGGTTCTCCAGCTTCTCTCAGTAACTTTTTGTCCTTAAGTTCATCACTCTTGAATGGGCATAGCTGGGAGTCACAGGGCAGAAACACAGCGAGCAGGGCACTGACTTTTGCCTTCCTCTAACACTGGCATATTGCTGATGATGACAGTCCTTCCCTGGGCTGCAAGGTGCAGCAAGGAGATGTCAGCTTCATTTTGAGAGATGTGCAGCAGGTCAGGCTGAATTCAGTGACCAGACATGGCCTGTGGCACTGTCTGAACAGACCCTGAGGGGCTCCAGCAGGATCTCTTGCCATGTGCAGCACCCTGGGGCCAAGGGGGTCAGTTCTGGAGTGAGAGGTCTCTGCTTTTAGGACCAAGCTTCTCTGACTGTGTAGTATTAAAAACATGCCACTGCTTTGTGAGCAGATACCACCTGTGAACATCTCAGCTCTGATGTTAAAGGCTCGACCCCCAAACCACCGGAAAGATTCATGACTGAGGGGAAAACACAGCAGTGTTTGGGCTGAGCCTTTTCCCCCACACTTGCTCTTCCTTTCCAGGGCTCAGGGCGGTCTCAAAACCCAGACCTGGTGTTTGCCATCTGTGCTTCGCTGAGTCTCAGGCTCCTGACTTGAGAGGCTGAACATCAGGCAGCAGAGTCTTTCTCTGACCTTGAGGTTCAGCTGGTTGCAAGTCCTTGGTGTCCTGCCCCAGGGGAGACTGATGCATGTGTCACCTCTGCTGTTCTTTTCAGAGCAAGATGAAGGTGCTGCTGAGCCTCACTCTGGTGCTGACACTGCTGGGTAAGATACAAGTTTTATTTTCCTTGCCTGATTTCTCCTCTGCATTTGCTGTAAGAGCCCTTGGTTCCTCTCCTCCTGTAGTGGGAATCCCTCAGAGCTGGCAGCTCCTCTGCTGGGTTCCAGTAACTCCTCTGGTCTCTGGTGCTGCATCCTCCCTTCCTGCAGACCTCACATATATATAGGCTTCAAATTGCATCCCTGGATATGTCCTGTACTTAGTCAGGCTCCAAGGCTTTGAAAGTAGAACAAGTTTACCAAGTCTAAATACAGGGAAAGGTTTCCAAGGTATTGATTTTGGCTCTGCTCAGGGTAACCATCTCCCTTGGTCTTCTCCGCTGGCAAATATTTGTCATTTTCAGCTCTGCAGCTGGTCAAGACTAAAAGAACCTGTTTGGGAAGCTGGAGCACTTTGCATGTATTATTTACAGGCCATCAGACAAGCACTTGGTGCTTGGCCAGGGCCCAGCCCTTGTAGCTTTTGGACAGGCTGAGCAGAATGGCTCAGCCACGAGGACAAACGTACCTGTCTGAGCAGCTCCTGGCTGAATCAGCTCACCTAGCTCTCAACAAACAAGTGCCAGAGCCTCAGCCTCATCCTGCTGGGGCCACTGCAGGCTCTGGAGCACAGAGGGTTTCTCTCAACAAGCTCCAGTAGCATTTTCTGCCCCACTTGTTCCATAGCACCGTTTAGGATGGAGAAGACCTGTAAGCCCCTTCCTGCCACACGCCCTGCAGTGCTGTGCCAGCTGCTGCTTCGTGCTGGTTGTGTCAGCCCTGTGCTCTTTGATGTTCCTCTGTTTCATGGGGTTTTCCCCACTGTCCAGCTTCTCTAGAAACCCCAAGCTGTAGTTATGTGGGCAGACAAGTACAAGCCCAGGTCTGGAGCCTGTGAGC